AAAGGAAAGGAAAAGAAAGGAAAGGAAAGGAAAAAGATCGAGTCAAGAATAAATATCATACAATTTGCAAACCAGAAAAATGAGTTGCGCATGAAAATAACGCTCTGATAACTAATGGCCCTGAGTCAAATTTTACATATATATTTTACTCAATATTGCATAATTTGTGTTGTGCATGACCATGCAGAATACGCCTTCCAATAAAAACATGTCTTCTCAATTTCAGGAGAAGAGGAGAAGATAAAGGTACCCTCTTTCCTTGTCGTTCTTCTCTTACCGACAGACAGGACGAGAGACAACGCACGCAGGCACTCAGTTATCAAAACGGGGCACTGAAAAAAGACCTCTGCATGAAGAGTCGTTGTACCCTCACTTCAAGAAAAATCGACTTCATTTTGATGTCTCTGAATCCCCCATCTCTTTACTTGTTACCTCATACCTCGTCATCTTGTTCTCTTGGTATCATCATCGGCTACGAAAATCAGCTTGAAGGGGATTTAAACTTTTCTTTTAAACGTAAGATAAGGTCTTTGATCTCCTGGCGTTTACCTGATATGCCATTGTGCGTGAACCAGCTGGTCTTGTGGATAGGTAGTCTGTAATCCTGAATAGGATCCTAAGGGGGAAAAATCGAGAAAAATTAAAAGGTTGCGGCTATACATGTGCCATCAATTAATAAGTCCCTTATTTTAAGGCCCAACCACGGTGGCACTGTTGTACGTAAAATCTTCTGCAACATTGCGCGCGACGTAAGTTTCATCGACGAGTAATGTTGCCGGCAATCACGTGATGTTCTTAACCAATGAAACTCGATTATATTGGTATACCGTTGACTAGGATTGAGTACTTTTCTTAGAGTGCTTTTAGTCTCACTGTTGAATAGGTGACGTCAACTAAATTAGATAAGTTATTTACTATTTTAGGTGACGTCAACTAAATTGGATAAGTTAGTTACTATTTTAGCTGACCTCACATAAATTTGAAACTACGAGTAAACCGCTACTGAGATSAGGGGGAGAAACGATGATACAAATGAATGTCTATTCACTCATTCTCTGGTAAAACAACCCCCCGGATTAGCATGACCGTTATTTGGCGCGCTTTTACTATTTTAGGTGACATCAACTAAAAAGTTACTTAAGTTAGATAAATTCATCTAACTATTCAACAGTGAGACTAAAAGCACTCTAATACATAGTAGTGTCTCAAAAGTATCAACGTGAGACACCCGTATAAAACCTTGTAACTTGCTCGCAACAGTTTTGTCGGTGAGTTTACTGCCAATAACCTATAGACTTTTTCCGACCCTCCTGTTTTTCCTCCCTCCTCTCAAATCAACCCTAACTAATTCAAACTGGTTAGAGCTGTGCTCTGGGGTCATACATGAACTGTATAGTGGCTGCAAGAGGCGCCTTCACATGCTTTAAGTCAGTYGAGCCCGCTAAGCTGCGCTCTTGCTGTACTCGCGGTGGTGATTAGCGATAACAAGTTTTTTTTTTTAGTTTGTAAATTTTACAAAGTTATAGTGAAAAACAGCTTTTTAATCATAGTGAGTAATGAATACGTCTTACCTCGAAGAAGCTTTCTACATACTGTAGAACAAATATGCCGCAATCACAATGATTATCTTGTTCTGGTACCTGTACAACACAACATCATCATTAAACGACCAGACAGAAGAAATTAGAGAGAAAAAATAAAATATCTTACAAAACAACACCATCAATAAACAACCACACAGAAAAAATCAGAGTGAACAAATAAACTCTTACAATATGACACCATCAATGCATCAACGTTGCTCAAAATATATACCTTGGGAAATGCTCCTTTGAATGACTGCTGTGTGAAATCTCGGTCTAATTTATCTGGCCTCTTTGCTTTCCACTCGCGAGATAAATAACTATGAAGAATGAAAGTAAAGGGCTTTTGTTTCAATAAACTGTAGAGGTATCAAGAGCAATCAACATAATACATAAGGCATAAAGAACGTAAGATGTTTGTACCCAAGCTACACCATATTGGTAATATCAGTAAAAGCCAGATAAGGTGCATTGTGGTCTAGCTTGGGTACAAACATCTCCATATAAGGCATAAGGAACGTAAGATGTTTGTACCCAAGATACACCACAATATTATTGCCCTATTTCACTATGACGTCACATCAAAACAATCTATTGTTTAAACGCAAAGGATCATGGGCGTCGGACGGGGTCAAATCAACGCAAATTCAAATTGTTCTAAAACCCGTATCAATCCACGAAGAGAAGTAGAATAGCCAGCAAACGCTCAGAATATTTTTTTGTTCATATTGACACATATTATATCTGAAAACCAGGCCATTTAAGATTAAACTATTTCTCTAGGAGCAAATGTTGTTGAATTTTCTATTGGATTTGGCGATTCTATCCCCCACATAAACAAGCAGTGACGTCATAGTGAAATAGGGCATTTGGTACATCAGTAAAAGCCAGACAGGTGCATTCTGGTCTAGTTTGGATACAATCAACACCATATAAGGCATGACCAACAAAATATGTTTGTACCCAAGCTATACCACAATGCACTGTACCCTTTAGTTATCAAAAAAGGTCTTGTCATGCATATGATATACTGACTTACTTTCTAAGGTTCATAAAAACTCTGGATCGTCCAGTATTAGCAAGTGAATCAAAGATTAAAATGCATGGGCTGTTGAAATCAAAATAAACAGAAACATTTGATTATTGCTAATCCCTGTGGCAACAACCTCCTCAGGAAGCCTTAAAAATGTATACAAATTCCTGTGAATTTTTTTCCAAAGAATAAAGAAGACATGATTCTAATCAAACTAGATCATTTTCTGACCAGTCAGAGAAGGATTTCAGCTTTATTATAGATATTGTATATATAAATTTTAGTACACATTGTATTTAAATTAGGAATTTAGTTAAGATGACTCCTCAAGCGGCAACACTTATTTAATGCTATTGTTTTTACGGCAACCAGGATGGCTCAGTTGGTTGAGCATCAGACTTTTGTGTGGGATGTTGCAGTTTGAGTCCCGGCCGGACTAACACTCAGGGTCTTAAAATAACTGAGGAGAAAGTGCTGCCTTTGTAATAAGGACTACAAATGGTTAGTATAGACCTTCATGTTGCTCGGATGAACATGTAAAATGGCGGTCATCTCTCCACACTACCTCACTCTACAATGAAGAGACCTAAAAGAATTGCATTTTTTGCATTGTATCACTCACTTAGCTTTCAAGACTGGCTTGATCTTTTTCACTGGTTTTTTGGAAGGAGTTCCCTTTTTTGCACCTACAGCAAGTGCGCTTGTCTCAAAATCAGCATCGTCTTCATCATCATCAGCAGTCTCGCTTTTTTCATCCACGCTGACTTTGACTTTAGCTTTTTCTTTTTTGAAGTCTTCAGAGTCTTCAATCACGTCTACCTATTCCAATTATTAAAGTGGGATATATATTATATTATAAATATGATATAAAATATGGTTATTCTTATTATCATCGTCATCATCATTATCACCATCATTATGATTGTCATGGTCATTTTCATTGTCATTACAAGTCATAGTCGATCTACATTATTAGATAAGCCCAGAGGTTGCTTCAGGGTTTGATAAAATAGTCCCTTTTTTCATTCCATAAATACCACTGTGTTTTAAGACTGAAGACTCATCTCTGCAGGCTTAGCCTTGCTTAAGAGTAAATCATTTGCAAATGTCAACTTTAATGTAAAGAATGTGCAGCTTGAACAATGCCAATATTTTAAAATCCCACGAACTTTTAATGGTATCTGTGAATACCTGACTTATAAACAAGGCAAAGCCKGTGCAAAGGAGTCTGTAGTCTTCAAAAACAGTGGTATGCATTGTATGTGAAACTGGTGTATTTTTTGTATGTATTGTTTTTTTACTTACCTCAGGTTGTTCTTGTGAGCTACTTTCCTCTATTATAGGCTCAACTAGGTTGGGAAAGCAAATGATTGCCAGATACCAGTGAGAGCTGAAAAAAAAAAAAAAAAAAAAAAAAAAAAAAAANATTGTTTTTTTACTTACCTCAGGTTGTTCTTGTGAGCTACTTTCCTCTATTATAGGCTCAACTAGGTTGGGAAAGCAAAAAATTGCCAGAAACCAGTGAGAGCTGAAAAAAAAAAAAAAAAAAAAAAGAAATAAATAGCCTCTTCAATCCATGTACCAGCTGTGTTGATGTCCAGAATGAACTCAAGGTCAACCAATCAGAATTGAGGATTCGACATCGTATTTGGATTACCATTTTCCTTGATTCTGCTGAGAGAACCCATGAAATATGAATTCTTCGTTTCTCTTATTTGATTGTAAATGCTACTAGTCAAACTCATGGTGGAATTCCATTTCAATCCACGAGAAAAATATTCATTGTTTTAAGTCCCTGCTCAGGAAATGCTAACCAAAAAATGTTCACCAATAATTGCCCTATTTCATAATGGCATCACATCAAAACAAACTATTATTTTAACGCTAGGGATCATGGTCGCTGGAGGGGGATGGAATGACAACAACACATCTTAAATCACAATGAAATTTGGTTTATGAGCTGGTGATGGCAAGAACAACTAAATATTACGCTAAATATCTCAAAAGAAGAGGATTAAGCTTAAATTTAGTCTAAATTTCTATCATTTTAGCCGATGTAAACAAACCGTGACATCACTATGAAATAGGGCAATTCATTTCAGTGAATGCTCTCAACATACAGCATACGGTGGAGCTGGATATCTTCAGATGTCACTCTTTAGCAATAGAGAAAAATAAATAATCCATCAATGGTTATATATCAATGACATTAAATTACCTCTCATTGATTGGAACAATTATAAAGTCCTTGCTGAATATATCAACATTTCTGGTCCATTTTTTTACTTGGCTGTGCATGCGATCTTGAGGACTAAAGAAATAAATAAAATCATTAACAACACCCTAGATATGGGCACAATATTGTGAGCAAATACATGATACAGGGTTGGATCCAGGGGGCGTCCTGTGGTGTACCGGACCGGACACCCCCCTATTGCCAGAATATTAAATATTACTACTCTTAGCTTTTTTTTTTTAAGAAAAAGAAACACTTACGATAAATAATATCTGTATATATTACAACAACCTAGGACAACACCCTAACAAATTATAAAAGGGATGCCAAAAATTTTTTTGGTTTTTTTCAAATTTAATAAATAAAATAAAATAAATAAAATAAATAAATGGGATTTAACAGTGGCATTTATACAGAGTAGCTATTCATCCACTGTAATTCCAATTGGAATTTAGGAGTTGATTTTTGCGCAGGGAGAACTGGAGAACCCGGAGAAAAACCCTCGAAGCACAGGAGAGAACCAACAAACAACTCTACTCACATACGACACCGAGCTCAGCGGGACTCGAACCCAGGTCGCATTGGTGAGAGGCGAGCGCTATCACCGCTATGCCACCCGTGCTTCCCTAGGACAATAAATAGCAGCAGAGGTACCTTTGAAAGAATTCGTTATTGCTTTTCTGGGTCAATCTCTTGTAGAAAAATGAACTAAATATATGAGTTCTGTTCTTGTCACCATCACTGAGTATGCCATGATAAATATACCTAAAAACAAAGAATTTATTGATTTTTTTTTTTGAACCCAACAATAATTTTGCAACTAAGTGTGTATGACACACTCCAGTGTCACTAACTCCCTAGAATTAATATTTCAAGCACATAACTTTCAACTCAAAATGTTGGTTTTTACAGAGGGAGGAATATTGGAGGAGCCAGGGAAAAACACTTGTGGAAAGGGAGAGAACAACACATCAAAC